AATGTTACTACAGCCATAGCATTTATCATCATGTAAACAAGACAATGGCAATAGGTAGGGAGGGAAGTGGACACATTTCGTGTGTGGATGAATGAAGTAAGACAGAAGAAGAAAGAGATTTTGGAAATGGGGAAAATAATTAGCTTGGTTTTAGATATGTTGAATTTGAACTACTGTCAGGGTACCAGATGAACATATTATAAGAGGGGTTGGAAATTCTTGCCTGGCCTCAGGGTGTGAGAGAGTGGAGGTGGACTTTAGGAACCACTGGTTTTTATAGCCCAAGAAGATAGTGTTTGGGAAGAGCTAAGAGTTTCAATCTTGCAAAATACCTTTATTAAGAGCTTGTTAGGAAAGGCAGCAGTCTAGGTTGAAGAAAGCTGAAGGGGCAAGAGGGAGAGAAAGCAGAACCTATTGTTAGAGCAGTTTTATGGATGAGTGAGTAGGAATCATTTTCAGGAGGGTCACTGCCAGGCTGTTTAGACCTGATAGAGGCACTAATGGGGGGCGAGTCCTGGCTAGGACTTGAAGGTCCCATCTATGCTTCTAGCTAGATGTGTGATACTGCACAAGATACTATCCCAGTTGGGCCTCCGTTGCCTTATTATTATTATTTGTTCTGAAGACTTGAGTACCCTTCTGAGATTTTATGTCAGATACAGCCTGACAGATGGCTATACCTGAAAGAATTCACTATCTATTATCTGGGCCTCACGTGGAGATACTGGTCAAACTTGAGGGTGTTTTCTAGAAATGTACACAGTGAAGTCCTATGAGAAGCACTTTTCTCTTTATTCACTCTAGGGCTGCGTGTGTCTTAGGGCATTCAGATGAGGCCTGAGGAGAAGACATTGGATCGGCCATTAGGAGGTTTCTGGTGACTTTTGCTGACACTCAGGGGACTGGAGGGGCTGGAGCCCATGTGTCATATAAGCTGAGTGGAGGGTTAATCAGGCATGGAGGCAGGTGGGGACATGGGTAAAGACAGGGAGAGTAAGTCTGGGCTTGGAAAGCTTTTTGTGAGAAAAGGCAGTTTCAGCACCTCAGTAGGGACAAACTGGGGCATCGTGGATGAAGAAGTGACAGTTACATCAGATAAACTGAACTTTATAAAGAGCTACCTGCAGCACTCTTATGTTTCTTCTCATTTTGAGCTGGTGACAACTTTCCAGGGAGCCTCTAATCTAGTTGAGTCCTATATGCCAGACATATAGCTGCCCTCTTTAAATACATCTTGGGAAATTCTCAGTCCTTTTACTTAACTCCTCTGACAGTCAAGGTCTACTTTGCCGTGCCCTGCGCCTTGTGGACAGCGTTTGTATACAGTTCTGCCTCCTCCCCTTGTCTGCTCTAAGTTAAAGACACCTGGTTTCTTATTTAACTTAAAGGCGTGAGAACCAGTGTTTCTTTAATGGATCACAAAACATCACAGAGCATATTTGGTTTGGCTTTTGCTGCTTTAATATATTTTTCTAACATACATATTCAAATATTCAAATTCATTCCTTTCATAGTTTTTCTTCCTGAAATACCTAGCCACATTCTTATCTTGTGACTTTTGTCCATTTCTTTGCATTTTAATTCTGTTCTCCAAAGTGTAACCTTAAATTATCCCTCTTTATTGTCAGGAAGCATTTTAAGTGCCTTTTACAGGTAAGTGCCTTATTACAGGTAGATTTATGCTTGGTCCTTAAATGTTTCGTTAAAAATTAAACTAAACAAAACAAAGGACAAAACATTATCCTCGTTTCCCAGGATTAGCAATTTCCCATGAATAAGGTTGTTCACTGAACTATCACAGTTTATGGTCAAAGTGTAATATCAATAAAATCACGTGGGTGACAGAAAGAGGGTGTTATGAGCTACACAAATGGACCACAAATAATATGCTAATGATGCAAACATGTATTCATCATTTCTTGGGGTCCAAACTCTTTTAAGAATCTGATGAAACCTATTTTACTCTTTTCAGAAAAAAGCTCAGGCACACGAGCTTCCATCCAAACACTCATCCTTATTTCACATGTGATTCCATGGGGTGCATTTCCCCCTGAAGCTTGTTCATTAAATAACCACACTCTAGGCCTGTACTGTCCAATACAGTAGCCACTAGCCTCATGTAGCAATTTAAATTTAAACTAATTAAAATTAAGTAAAGCGAAAAACTGAGTTCCTCAGTTGGACCAGCCACATTTCAAGTGCTCAGTAGCCACATGTGGTAGTGGCTACTGTGTTGGACAGTGCAGATATAAAACATTCCATCAGTGCAGAAACTGCTGGATCCTGCTGCTCTACACCATCACGATGGTTGAAGATTTAGTTCCTTAACTAAATCGTTTCTTGTCCCCCTGACTTCCTCCCTTCCCACTCCCCCCACCACTGTTAGTGATTACTTAGCATACCTAACTACAGAGGTGCCTGTTTTAAGAAAAATTGTTAACATATATTTCTTAAATTAGATGATTCATCTTCAAAAAAGTGTACTTATTGAAATGAGTTCTTTAAATAGGGTAGATGCTCTGATATAGTGACATAGGGATAGTGTGGTTTGATTTACACAGTTTTTTCCCTTCTCCAGCTTCCTCTGTCCATGTAATGTTCAGTGATTGACTAGATATGACTAGATAATTTATTTCATCTCTCTCTCCTCTCCCCTCCCCTCTCCTCTCTCCTCTCCCCTCTCTCTCCTTGATGTAGAACTAGCACCCATTACACTTAATGACTTTCCTTGACTTGTTCTTACATTTCAGCAGTATAACCAGGAAGTCTTTAGAAACAAACTGGAACCAATTAGGCTAAGTAAGACACACTTAAGATATAAGGAAATAAATACAGCTCAAGTGAAAATAGAAATAATTTCATTCAAGATTATCCATGTTTTTGTTTCCCTGGATAATTTCTTTGAACCTCAGTTTCTCAGGCTGTGAAATGAATGGAATGATAAGTGGTATGCTTCTAACTAGGACATTTGGGGTCATTGCAAGAGGAACTTGTGAATTTGACCAAAAGATCTGTTCCTAAATTTAAACCAAGAGTGATAAATTCAATTTAAGTTTCTGAAAGTAAGAGCTAGTCAAGGGGTTACAGAGTATACATTTCAAAATCTGAAGCTTTTGAAAGGCGGTTGTGAAGCCTGTTCTCCCTTTGGCAGCTTTTTAGAGGAATGTAGTAGTCTTTCAACGTTTGCCAGCTCCCTGTTGCGGTCAATCAATAGTACTTGTTTTAAAGTGGGTTTCTCATTAGAATGGCAAATAAGAATCAATTTTTTTGTTCTGTCCCACATATTTTAATAGACCTCAAAAATAGAATGGGGGAAGAACTGATAAACAATTGTAAGTACAGGAAGTACAAATAGAGTAATAATAGAATAATAAGAATAAAGGAGGAAGTAATTTACTCTTTGTTCTCAATTTAGCATTTATTTCCATTTCACCATATGTGGAGCATTGCACAATATGTGGCAGACCAAAAAGGGGACAAATGAATGGACGGCATTAGGTGCTGCATGTCTTTGCCGGGGAGTTGACACTGTGACTGATGGTGATAAAGCATAAGCAAATGAGAGCTGTCATAGAGGTGGAGGTGCTGATGAGAGGGAGGAAAAGAGAAAGATTGGGTTGTGGGGCAGTTGTACAAGGCAGGCTTTTTATAATATAGCTGTTGAGGTAGGCCTGCCAAGCCAAGGTGACAGCCTGAGCAAAGGTGTGGACAGAAAATGCCAGTGATAAGTTTGGGTATGGTGAGTTGTAGGGATATGGTTGGGACAGGCTTGTCAGTGATGTTAGTGAATGCCATGCTCAAAGTCCTATATGATAAAAATAATGAAGACATAAATGGGTTTAGCTGTCTGTAAGAATGGAGGCAATTAGATCCGTGACCAGTAAAAAAAAAAAGTCTAACTTTAATCCATACAAATATTCATATTAGAGATTTATATTCTTGATGTTTGAGTCTTGATGCTTTATATTCTCTCCCTTGGTTTGTTTTAGCGTGTGGCTTTAGAAGCCAACAAGGGGTTGGAGAAGGCCAGGGAAAGGGTACCACTGATAAATTATCCATCAGCAATTGATAGTGCAAAAGTACACAATTGAAAAGTTGAGAAAATAGTGTTATAAGAAGGAAAGCATTGATACAAAATGTTCTTCTCTTGCCTTTTGAGTTCTGAAGTATCTGCTGAAAACATGGTTCATTTTCTGTCCTGCCAGTGACCTGCTTATCCAACTTCCCACTCACATTACTGTATCATATAAGGCATATGTTGGTGCCAGCAAATGAGATTGTAATCCTAAAGTAGTATCTATTGTAGGTGCAACTGATTTATTTAAAGGGATGCTGCTGAAGGGACAGGGAGACCATCTGCAGCTCTAGTTGTATAAATCCTTCATCCTCCCCTCACCTGCAGCCTGTTCTCCCATTGCAGCCAGTTACCTTTCTGGACTTCACATCTGATCGAGTTGGCCACTGCTAACACTGTTTCAGTGGCTCCCCATCATTTCTAGGGTACAGGCAGAAATCCTTCTCATGGCTTCTAAGGCCCAGCCTGCTCAAGGGCCTCACTCTCTAGTCCCATCTCCCTAGAACACTCCTTGCTCTCTGGCCTCAAGGTGCTTGGGCCTACCTTGGGTTCTCCCAGTCCATGCGAGGACCAGGCGTCTTTGGTGGGGCCTTGGCAGGGTTGGTCCCACTTCCTGGTTCTGGCTCCCTCCTCTCTTCTCATAGTTTTCTCTTCCTCCTGCTGAGCTTAGTCTGTGGTCAAACACGCTTCCCCTGGGTCAAATCTCCCTCTGGTGGAGTCAGACTTTGGTGAGGGCTGCATTCTGAGGACAGCATGGGGCTAAAATGATCATTGAGACACAGCTTTGGAACGGACCACACTGGAAACTGATGTACAGTCTCTCATTAACACACTGTAACACAGCCCAGTTTCCCTCCCGTGTTGGAAGTCACCACTTTTTCCTTAACTGCAGCTTGGCAGGTGAAGTAATTGGCTTGTGTTACAGGACCACGTTGTATGCAGTCTGGGTCTGATTGAGGGAGACCAGGTTTACACGTTGTGCCTCTCACTTACTGAGGAAGATGGTGAGCAGAATCCCCTGAGCTGTTTTAAGTTTTTTGCTGAATGTGAATAGTTCTACCTCTCATTTTGAAGGACTTGCCATAGTTGTGACTTAAATGGGTTTGTATGTAGATGTCACCTTTACCCAACTACAGACTCCTCAAGGCAGGGACTGTGTGTGTGTGTGGTTTGCATTCTCAGTGTCTGGCACATAGTAGGCACTCACTAAATGCTTGTTGAAAAACTGCTCTCTCACCTGTTCTAGGGAACACTAGGCTTCTATGGGGAAGCAAACATTTGACTCACATTTTATTTAAAACATGTTTTAAACTTCTTAAACTCGGGCCGAGCCCGTGGCGCACTCGGGAGAGTGCGACGCTGGGAGCGCAGCAGCACTCCTGCCGCAGGTTCGGATCCTATATAGTGATGGCGGGTGCGCTCACTGGCTGAGCGCGGTGCGGCCGGTCACAAAAAAAAAAAAAAAACTTCTTAAACTCTAATAAAACATAGGCGCTCTCAATTGTGCTTTGTACTACATGTCAACAAATAGGAGACTACTAGTTCTGTCAGATTAACTTGTTCTTTTGGAGATTTGGAAATAAAGCAAGCAGTTGAAAGACTCTTACCATTTGCAACTGCTTATTTTCATTATACCTGCAACAACAATAATAGAACCCGCAGAAACAAGTGCAGAGGCGGTTGAGATTGACATAGCCTGTTGGGTTAAGTGCCTGGGCTTTAGCTGAGCCTGCCACATCCATATCTTACTCCCCACCTTTTATTAGTATTGTGACCTTTCTGAGTCAGTATCCTTATCTGTACTATGGGGAAAATAAGAGACTTGTGAGGAGTAAACACAGTGTCACAGAGTAAATGGCATACAGGGCTCAGTCAGCGTTAGCTGCTATTGTTATTGTTTTATCCTTAACCCCAAAATGTCAGGATTTTGAAGAGACTCTTTCATTGTTTAAATTTATAAGGTAAGGACTACTATATGTAAGCCCCACAGAAATGCCCTTTCCTTTTAAAAAAAAAAGCGCGGAGGGGGCTTGGAACCATTGGTTTAGACTGAGAGGCTAGTACTTTAGCACAGTTTCCCATAGTCATCACTGGGAAACCTTCAAATTGGATTTGATCTCTAGGACTAGAATCCCTTGGCTTCTTAATGTAGGCCTGCATAATGCTCTGATTTGTTCTGCCTATAACTCTTATTGATGTTTGACACAAGAAATGGCCATAAAAAGAACCTGTCTGTAAAACTGCCAGTAAAGACTTCATGTATTCATTCCATAGAAACTTCCTGAACTCCTATAACGAGACTGGCACTGTGACGAAACGCTTTTCTATCGGCGTCTGAGTGAATCTTCTCAACAACCCTAGGAGGTAGGTACTGTTGTCACAGTTGTTCCCATGAGGCTTCAGAATGTTAAGTAGCTCACCCATAGGGCTGCGTTCGTGGCCTTAGGTACCAGGAACCAGTTCTCCTTTCCAACAGTGTGCTTTTATTCGCTCAAAAGCCATTTGCCTTGGCTGCCCAGAAGCTTCATGACACTATGCTACCTTAGCCTTAGCCTAGCTTTTCTTGTGTCACATTGGTGCCCCTCCCTCACATGGCCCTTCTCTGTTTTCCTCTATTGTGTTATCTTAATTTTATTCTGTAGAATATGACTTATTCTAAGCCACCCAAAATTGGGGCAAGTTTTGAAGAATGAATGAAATATTATACATTTCATCTTAATATAAATTTATAGCTGTCTCTGAGTGTGAAACAGAAAAGAAGGGTGGGCAGGTGAAAAACTTTTTAAAAAAATGATTAAAGTATTATTTGATTGTAAGACTTTTTTGGGGGACTGAGAAAGGTCATAGACAGCATTCAGGTGTGGTTTTCCTTTTAAGTTAAGAATCTGGCTGCTATAGAAGTCACATCTTTCACATTTTAATTCTTGTTTTTACTCTTAAAATTATGAAAACAAATGTACATTGCTAAGGAGTTTTCTAATTTTTTTTCTTTGCAGATAATGATGCTTGAGCTGAAAAATTAAGGTAAGATTTTTGACCTTTGTAATATTCTTCTCTTATTCTGATTTCTTTATTTATAGAATTTAGCCAAATTACTAATGTTTTTTGTTTTGTTTTTTTTTTTCCTTTTTGTCTTTTTTCGTGACCGGTAACGGGATCGCAACCCTTGGTGTCGCGCCCACACCGCGCTCAACCAGTGAGCGGACCGGTCTCTATATGGGATCGGAACCCTCGGCGGGAGCGCCGCCGCGCTCCCAAGCGCCGCACTCTACCGAGTGCGTCACCGGGCCGGCCCAAATTACTAATGTTTTAAGCTTGGTGAAGATTGTTCTCTTTTGGATGATAATTCCAAACTGTTGATTATAAGAGACTTTACATTACATTTTTAGGTAAATTTTGAAAATAACAGTAGGATACCACATTGTTATGAACTGTCAAAGTGTCCTGATAGAATTATAAACAAATCTCAAGGAATTCCTTAATTTGGAGATGTGTGCAACCACTAATCTGGGTTGGGTTTGTTGGATTGCATGATCTGGCTTATAATTTGATTTAAAGACTCTAAAACTTCAGTGCCTCTGGCGGGAACTGGTCTCTATATGGGATCGGACCCCTCGGCGGGAGCGCCGCCGCGCTCCCAAGCGCCGCACTCTACCGAGTGCGTCACCGGGCCGGCCCAAATTACTAATGTTTTAAGCTTGGTGAAGATTGTTCTCTTTTGGATGATAATTCCAAACTGTTGATTATAAGAGACTTTACATTACATTTTTAGGTAAATTTTGAAAATAACAGTAGGATACCACATTGTTATGAACTGTCAAAGTGTCCTGATAGAATTATAAACAAATCTCAAGGAATTCCTTAATTTGGAGATGTGTGCAACCACTAATCTGGGTTGGGTTTGTTGGATTGCATGATCTGGCTTATAATTTGATTTAAAGACTCTAAAACTTCAGTGCCTCTATTAAACCCTCATAACACAACTTGGAACTTTTTGGTTTACATATCATAAAAATTGTGTGAAAAGAGCAACGTGGAGTGTGGTTGCTGGGGAAGAAAAGGTTTCTGGTGGGGGTGATGCCCATGGTGAGCAGTTCTGAAGACACGATATTGGTTGGTTGGGGGGTGGGAGTGGGGGTATTCCCAGCAGAGGGAGCAGCCTATGCCAGGGCAAAGGCAAGAGAGTGTACCGTGAGCTGAGCAGGTGCAAGTGAATTCCAATTCCATGTGACAGTGCATTTCAGAATGACTGAAGCAGAGAATATGAAAGGGGAGGCGGCTAGGGGGAGGCGGCTAGAGGGAGGCTGGCCAGGCGTCTGACCTTAGAAGTTGGCCTTAGTCCTGAATCTCTGGAGAACGAACCATTGAGGAATTTAAAGTATTTTATGGAGGGGGCATTAGACAGATGCTTTCCCTGTGTCAAAATAGTTGGTTTGCTTTTTTGGTTTGTTAACCTTTTTCCTTTAAGTTGAAGTTGGTTAAGCAAGATTCCAAAAAATTAAACAAAGCAACCAATTTAATGCATTATTAACCTACGTCAGGAAATTGAGGAGCTTGAGGTTGTTTCCTCTCTAACATTAATTTAGTCTGGGCATTGAGCAGAGTGATACATTTGAAATCCAAAAAGTCTCCCAAGAGGTATACATCTTAATTGCCTCACACTTTTGTTGGACAGTTTAAAGTGTATTAATTACAGTAGTAATTGCTGGAGTAGTAATTTGAAAGAACCAATAAGAGGGACTAAGGTATGTTGCATTGTTTTTTAATCATATTTTCCCATTCACTTGATTTCTCATTATACGAGCTGCTATGGGTTTTTACCAGAATAGTAGAGCATGTAGTTAAAAATGCAGAATTCTTCTTTGTTTATTTATTTACTTTATTTTTTTGTAGCTGGCAGGTACAGGGATCTGAACCCTTGACCTTGGTGTTATAACACCATGCTCTAACCAACTCAGTTAATCAGTCAGCCCAGAAATGCAGAATTCTTACCTGTTAGTATTCAATTACATTATACTGGGTCACATTTGCGTATGACCAGGAGACAGGCAGATAATGTTTACTGCAGTGATTTTGCAAATTCATCATAGTCAGTATAACAATTATAGTTTCTGTCTCTATTACTTTCCCATTGTGGGATTCACAGTATCTACTTTCATGATAAGGTTGATGACCATTTTTGCTCTAGAGCTGTGCTGTCCAATAACAGCTGCTGGCTCCTTAAATGTGGCTATTTAAGTTAGTTAAAATTAAATAAAATTTAAAATTCAGTTCCTCACTCCCATCAGCCATATTGGACATTTCCATCATTGTATAAAATTCTGTTGGACAGTGCTGCTTTAAATCTTTCTATGTAAAGTTTATACTTAAAATCCATTTAATACTGAAATATTTATAGATTAAATGATGATTTGATTCAAAATAACTGGGCAGAACTGAGAGTGGGAGGTTATGGAGGAAATAGGATTTGCCATAGTTGACAATTGGTGAAGCTGGGTTTAGGGTTCAAGGGAGTCCATTATAGTCTCATTCAGAAATTTTGTGTATGTTTGAAATTTTCCATAATAAAAAAATTAAAATAGAAATATTAAATAGAACAGTGCTCCCACCAGCATTTAGAAGTAGCCATCTGTCAATAATCATCTTAAATCTCAGGCTCCACTGGCTGGCTCCTGTAGTGTAGGAAAGTTTTAAATCCTGCCCCAGGGCTTCTCCTAAAGGGTATGTATAGTATCATGTTGTCATTTAATTTCTTTTCACCTCAGAACACACAAGTAAAGGCACAGGGTCATATTTGCTAAAAGCTGGAGCTGCCCAAATGAGTCTTGGGTAGAATATGCTAGATTATGATATATTAAAAATTCCATTGCTGCTGAGATTAATTTTAGCAAACTCAAAATAGTGTATCTAGGGCCGGCCTGGTGGCGCACTGCGCTAGTGCGCCGCTTGGGAAGTGCGGCGGCGCTCCCGCCGAGGGTTCGGATCCCACATACAGACCGGTTCCCGCTCACTGGCTGAGCGAGGCGCGGGGGCAAC